TAACTTAAGATAAAACGTAAACAAGAAGCGAATTGACCAATCACAGTATAGTCCGTAAGGCCATAACATAAATAGTAGCCAACCCAACATGTTGATTCTCTTATTGCTTATGTCTTATTATCTTAAGTTTTTTGTGTGCTATGTATTATGTAATATCCTCCTTAGTATTATGTAATGTTTGCCACGATGCGTTACGAAATAAGACGGTTGAATGATTGTGTGTATGAGTTTGTCTTGTAATCTTGTCAACCTTCGTTCATCGCCCGGAGCCCCTACACTCGCTCCTTTTTTTCGTAAATAGTAAGTTATAATTAATGATATTCCTGACTACTTTTTTTAAGGCGATTTAATGTTGCTCTCAACACGGACTTCGATTTTTTTTACATTTTATTATTATTATTTTATTGTGTATAGAGAAATTACAAAGCATACACTAATGGTGAGGCAGCAGCACTGCTGTTACTAAGACCCCCCAGAAAACGAAACGAATTACAAATTACAAGTTACAGAGAAATTAGTACAATTCCAGAAAGATAAGCTTCTTGCTTAGTAAATAACTCGATAATTTTAAGAAGATAGAGGCCAAGAATGATTTGAGCATAATTGCTGTTACTAAGCCTACCAGAAAACGAAAAAAATTACAAATTACAAATTACAGAAAAATGAGTACAATTCCAGAAAGATAAGTTTCTCGCTTAGTAAATAACTCGATAGTTTTAAGAAAGTAGACGACATTTCATCTGTAAACGCGATAGGTGCACAAATTCGCGGTGGGATTTTGGAGTATATGTTTCAGCAACAACAAAGGATCGTACGCGATAAAAAAAATGGCTAAGAAAATGGAGCAAGCCGTAGACGTTTAACGTCACGTTTTTGATATATAGTTTTACATTCTTTTTATTAATTAACAAGTTTATTTTTCTTTATGTTAAATCATAAACGCAGTTCTTTTTAGTTATGACTTTCAATATGACTCTCTCTTATGTGATAGTTGCGAGATTTCACGTCTAATATATTCAACATAATATAATATATATCTTCAATTATAGCCAAAGAATGGCTTTGTCAAGATGGACAAAGGCCCGTCGTGATAAACAAAAGAAGACTAGAGAAATAAAACCATAAGCTAAAGCTTCTTTTTCTTTGTAGAGTGTATATTTATATATTTCTTTTCGTTTGTCTTTTTTTTTTTGTAAAATCTGAACTACTGTATTTTTTTAGCTGGAAAAAAATTGTATTAATTGGAGCAATCGTGCGATAAAACTGAAAGGATCTGATTCAGTATCAAGAGACATTTTTAAAAATGTAATTTTTTATTCAAATTTACCACATTCTCCGCTTGTAATTATAAAATAATTAAGATTATTTTACATTACGAAACCTATTATAATAATTGATACACTTGGAATTAAATACGATGTTTGACTAGATGCTTTTGAAGAATATCACATATTTTATAATCGATCTAATACTAGTTGGACCAATACTTCTTGTATACAACAGTTGCGATTAATCAGGTTTTTATCAGTGACTTAATAATTTTTTTAATACTTTAGACCTCAATTTATAATTGATTATATATTTTTTATATATAATATTTAAGTTAGTGTTAAGAAAAATTTTATAATCGACTTTTTGTTATTACATTGAAAATGACCCGATTGGGTACGAAACGTCTATTTTTGCTTGTATGATTTAACTATCTAAATTAAAAGTATTCGTTTTTAGGTTCATAGCTTTTTTTTATATTCTTATTTTATTTTCTTAAGATTTCTTTTGATTAAGATTAAGTCTTTTGACATATTATTTAATATATAATGTATTTTAACGAATAATAGAGTCTGCTCTCATTAGCTACCTCTTCATCTACGGAACAATATATTGTTCTTTGCGCTCCTTCTTCAGCATTTTTAGAAAACAATTGCAAAAATATATTACACACACACAACAGAAAGTAAAACCCGGAAATAGTGCCTTATTACCATGCCGTGTTATTTCTGGTTGGAATAATACCAGGATATAAAGAATATACATTTATCCCAGAAATATTTGTCTCTAAAAATCAAAATCTTTGTGTAAGAGCCTATCTTCAATATATATTTTTCCTTTATTACGTAAATTAAATCATTAATGATTAATTAGTGATTGTTGAATATTAATTAAATTGGTATTAAATAAATGTGATTCAATGCAATTCGTATAAATAATGCGGTGTTTGTATTATACTTTTTAATTTACAGTTATTGCATAACTTTTAAACGGTAGTTTTTTAAGATTTGGGAGAATTTGGAGGGATTATTTGTTTCAGATTGGTTGTGTGAATCCGATAATTTCATCGGCTCTCAATTTATGTCTGAAATATTAATTCAATTTTATTGAATGTATATTAAAATAGTAGTTCAACATCTTAATACTCTGACCGCGAAGGCGCTTTTAAAATTATAATATTTATATTGACGGTTCTTGTTTCCAATCATATGTTTATAATACGCTGCCTATACATGCGTAACTCACTATATATATCGGTTATTGCGAAGAGTGTTGCTAAGGTCTCGGTAGTCTAAAGGCTCAGGACGCTCGCACGGAATGCAAGAGATCCGGGTTCGGCTCTCGCCCGAGGCAATATTTTTCGCAATAAATTATTACAGTTTTTTAAGATTTGGGAGAATTTGGAGGGATTATTTGTTTCAGATTGGTTGTGTGAATCCGATAATTTCATCGGCTCTCAATTTATGTCTGAAATATTAATTCAATT